CTGCCGAGTTCACGAAGTGAATTGGCTTGTTTTACAACGTTGTTGCCAAGCGACGAAAACCCAATCCCGATGGCAAACACCGAGAGGGGGGCGGGGGTACTCATGATCGTGCATGCCGTAGTCGTTAGACCATTGACCTCGCATCCCTACAAAGCTCGCATCCCTACAAAGCCGGGACGGAGCACGCCAGGTTCTCACCGGACCAGGCTCTCACATCACCAAGCGCGAAGCGCCGTGAGGTATTCGGCGAGTCGCATGAAGGGTGCGCTGCATCCTGCTAAGGGTTGTCGGCATCTTGTGCTTACTTCCTTGCGTACGGATGACAGCTGCGTATGACTTAATATAATTTCTGGTGCTTTCACTTCCAGCGGCAGTTGTAAGCACTACTGTGTACCTGCCTCGAGGGTGCTTGACCATTTTAGCACAACGTGGTGCGATCATCCCCCTTGCGTGGAGTGAGGTTTCTCGACGCCGCACAACATGATGTACTCGACCAACATTAACAGCATATTGGTGAAATTGAGAGCGAAGCATCTGATTGAGAGCGAGATTGCGCGATGCGCTGCAGCTGGACTACTGCTGAGAGGTGGAGCTTGCTGTGTAGCTTGAATTGAAGGGCCAGCCCGTAGCTACAAGCAGTCTCTCGATGTGGACTTACAGCGGCGAGCAGAAGCTACAGCAGAGCCCACCGCCCGAGGCCAAACCGCCCTGCAACAGTTTGAGGCAGAAATAGCCAATCTGGGGAAATCTAGCAACTTGTCTAGCTCCTAGCTGCAGCATCCGATGATGAAACGCATATTCTCGTGACGCTGCTGATGAGACCTTCAATTTGCGCCGCTTCTTGGAAGAGCCCGCCCCCTACTTCACAAGAAATGGCAAGAGGCGTCTGGACCCGAATTTAATATTTTTTGGCTCTCGCTCTCAATTTCATGCTTCGCTCCAATTTCACCAATATGTTGTTCATTATGGTTCCCGCCAAAAAAAAACAGAGGTAAAAAAAAAACGGTAACCTGGTTACCGAGTTCACGAAGTGAGTTGGCTTGTTTTACAACGTCGTTGCCAAGCGACGAAA